AAGGACAAAGCCAAGGAAGACACAGGGGACAGCGCGGGCGGAGAGCTTGTCCGCAGTGGTATCGCGGACAAAGGCACGAGCACCCCAGACCCGGAACCGCGACGCATCGCCAACCTCCCCCGTCCACAGCAGTGTGGGCGAGGTCTCCGGCAAGGAGACACGGGGCCAGAGGTTGAGCTGATGCGCGGCGTACCGGACCGCAAACGGCCACAGAAAATGGGGGGCAGCCGCATGGATCATGGAGGTACGAGCGACCTCCATGACTAAGCCAATGCGGCGCTCAGCAACCCCATTCTGCTGCGGAGAGGCCGGAAGCGTGAACGTCTGGCGGATGCCGTGCTCCGCACAGTAGGCTGCCAAGAGGTCGGAGGAGAACTCACCACCTCTGTCAGAGTGCAGACGCAGGACAGAAAAGTCCCGCTGGAACCGCTCGCGGAGCTGGAGACAAACAGCGCGGATCCAAGGGATCAAAACATCAGGGACCTCACCCTTGGTGCGCAAGGGGAAGACCGTGGTGTAACGCGTGTAGTCGTCGACGACCAGCAGGAAGTACCGCTCGTGGCCCTATCCACGGACGCGGGCTGGGCCCCACACGTCCAGGTGGAGAGTCTGCAGGGGAGCCTCTGTGGGAGGGAACGAGGAGGAGTGAGGAGCGGCGCGCTGCCGCCCCTCGACGCAAGGAATGCAGGGCGGCGCAGGCGAGGGAGGGAGGGCAGGCAGAGACCTGGGAAGACCAGAGACCAGGGAGCGAGAGTGCATGCTACGAAGACGAGGCAGGGAGGGGTGACCAAGGCGGTGGTGCCACAGGAGAGTGTCGTGTGACAAAGCGCGACACTCGCAGGGGGCCGCCAGCTGACCTGACGCAGACGCAGACGCAGCCACCTGAGGGGACGCAGTGGTCAGTGTGTACAGACTCGAGCCAGGCGCACGGGTAAACGTGGCTAGGTGTCGGCCCGTCCGAGCACACGTACAGTGAGTCACTCGCTGACTCGCAGGAGTGAACTGGTGAACCCCCTGATTCTGGAGGTCAGCTCCACTCACCTAGTTCGTACAGAACGAGGGGAGGTAAAGACCTGACAGCGAGCCAGACGGGGCGGCCGGACACGGCAGAACCGTGGAGTAGTGGGCAAGGACTGGACCCCCAGAGGGGTCCGCCAGGGAGACTGGAACTGGCCGACTAAGCGGCGTGAGTGTGGTGCAGTCGCGAAAGAAGGAGCGGGAAGCTCCTGAGTCAAGGGTGAAGGTGTGCAAGACCGCAGCAGGCGCAGTACCAGAGAGAGCAGACTCACCAGCACCTGGAGCAGCAGCCTCACTAGCACCTAGAGCAGGAGACACACTAGCACCTAGAGCAGCAGCCTCACCAGTACCGAGAGCAGGAGACGCACGAGCACCGAGAGCAGGCGCTATACCAGGGTCAGGCGGTACGCACAGGTAACAGGCACGGTCAACACTAGTAGGCAATGCATACATGGCAGTGAGAATAGCATCATAGTCAAGAGCAAAGACATCAACCCGCTGTCCAATCAGCTCCACCCAGGTAGGGAGCTCAGCCTCGTCTCCAAACACGGTACGCCAGGCGTCGCTCAGACGGGCGAAGCAGCGGGACGGTGTGTGACCAAGCGTCCCGCAAGGCTGACCAGTCCTAACACCTGTGCGAATGACGTACGGGCAGCGAACGGTACGCGAAGACCTGCTACACTGAGCGTACCACTCCTGGAGCTGCCGGGGCGTATTTGTCTCGCGTGGACGCCCCTGCAGCTGCAGCTGGCCACTGCCAGACGCCCCCAACTGACCAGCTCCAGGGCGACTGCTACGACGGCTACCTCGACAGCCCCAACTAGTATACCACTCATCAAGCTGCTGGGGCGTGAGAGACTCACGTGAACGTCGCTGGAGCTGCATCTGGCCACCTGCCAGTAGCAGTAGCAGCAGCAGTAGCGCGGGCAGGGCAGGCGCGGCAGGCCGACAGGCAGGCAGGCCGGCAGGCAGACAGGCAGGCAGGCAGGCCGGCAGGCAGACAGGCAGGCAGGCAGGCAGACAGACAGGCAGGCCGGCAGGCAGGCAGGCAGGCAGGCAGGCACGCAGGCAGGCAGGCAGGCAGGCAGGCAGGTAGGCAGGCAGGCAGGCAGGCAGGCAGGCAGACAGACAGGCAGGCCGGCAGGCAGGCAGGCAGGCAGGCCGGCAGGCCGGCAGGCAGGCAGGCAGACAGGCAGGCCGGCAGGCAGGCAGGCAGGCGCTCACCAAAGGCTGGAAGAGCAGGCGCTCGCCGGGCGAGCAGGGCCGGCGCTCAACGGGCGGCGGCCGAGTAGGCGCACGACAGCGGCGACGTCGGGGCCGCAACACCGGCTGCAGAGTAGGGCCGAAGCAGCTGCAGGGCGGGGCTGCTTCAGCGGCAGTTGCAGGGTGGGGCCGCGTCAGCGGCAGGTCGGGGCCGTGGCAGCTGCAGGGCGGGGCCGCATCAGCGGCAGGTCGGGGCCGAGGCAGAGGGCCGCGCGCGGCTCGGCGCGGGCTGCGCTGACAGCGCGCTGGGCTGCTGCAGGCCGCGCGCGGCCGCGCTAGGCAGTAGCGGGCCGCGCGCGGCTCGGCGCGGGCTGCTGCGGGCCGCGCGAGGCAGTAGCCGGCCGCGCGCGGGTCGGCGCGGGCTGCTGCGGGCCGCGCGCGGGCCTCGCGAGGCAGGAGCAGGCCTCGCGCGGCTCGACGCGGGCTGCGCGGGCTCGGCGCGGGCTGCGCGCGGCAGCAGCGGGCTGCGCGCGGCTCGGTGCGGGCTGCGCGCGGCTGCAGCGGGCTGCGCGCGACTCGGTGCGGGCAGCGCGCGGCAGCAGCGGGCTGCGCGCGGCTCGGCGCGGGCTGCGCGGGCTCGGTGCGGGCAGCGCGCGGCAGCAGCGGGCTGCGCGCGGCTCGGTGCGGGCAGCGCGCGGCAGCAGCGGGCTGCGCGCGGCTCGGCGCGGGCTGCGCGGGCTCGGTGCGGGCAGCGCGCGGCAGCAAGGGGCCTAACGGTCTGCAGGGGCTGTTCGCGGGCCTGAAGGGCGTGTAGGGGCGGCGCGCGGGCCTTACGGGCCTCTAGGGGCAGCTTGCTGGCCTAGGGCAGCAGGAGGCAATGCTAGGGCTGCTGGACGGCGCGCGTAGTGCAGCACGTCACAAGGCAAGGCAAGGCAGGCAGGTACGTGGGGTAGCGCGGTAACCGCAGCGGTAGGTGGGCCCGAAAAAAAAAAACCGGTCCTACGGACCTTAGTGCTCTGAAACCATGTTAGAAACTATTAGCAGGAATGGATGAACTAGCAGCATGCAGGAGTACAAGTAGTAAACCCTAATTGGGTTGTACCCCATATGGGCTATCCCACTACAGCCTAGACAATATGTAGCATATATGTTTGACAGATAGTGCTTTTAAGATCGCCTAGTAGTGTAATTACCTAGTACAAGCTGTCTCATTACAGCAATTCGCCAGCGATAGTCGACATGGACGTACGTGCCACAGCAAATGTCGAAATGCGTGCTTCACCTCACACTGGCCGAAATCGAAGACCGCGCTTCTATTCTGGGTTTTTTTTTTTTTTTTTCCGCGATGCGATTTTTTTCCCCTGCCCGGACCAATGTTACGCGTACTTACGCGTACGTAAACGTAAACGTAACATTACGCGTAATGTTACGTTTACGTAGGGTCCGGGACGTACGGACCCATCTTAGGTTGGGACTCAGAAGAAGCATGCGGGATTAAGGGTGGTGGGATGTGCAAGGCGTAAGGAGTAATACGTGTACGTAATTCGGTTGCAAAAGGTGGCCAGGAGGGATTGAGTTAGGTTGTGGAGAAGAGCTGGACTTTGAGAGAGTTATCAACAGAAAATTCAATGTTCCGAGAGAATATCAACGGGAATTGGAAATGCCATTCTAAAGAGCAGGAAATTTAACCTATATACTCAGTATTTGGAGTCAGAGAATTCCGGTTTACCGTATCGCCCCGGATAAAAGCGCAGGCCTATGATAAGCGCATGCGCTTCTATCTGGAGCAATGCGCTTATGGCCGATCCTCAATTATAAGCGCACCCCCTGTAAAACCCTGACTTATTATAAGCGCATGTATAATATTAAAATTTGAATTTGCTTGAAACGGTAACGAAATTCCAATTTGCAGCGAGGTCACACCAATTTCGGTTCGATTGACTCGCGAGGACCTTACATTCTGCGCGTCCAGTCATTATGAGCTGGAATTCCGGCGCAATGACGTGTAACTGCCCCTGTGTGCCCGCAGAAATTCGCCCGCGTGCGACTCTGAATTGTGACCCCCTATCATTGCGCTTCGATTAAAATTGCAATAAGGGGATGTACAATCTGGTGCAGTAAGAATATAAATTTGTATTAGTCATTATATAAGCGCATGCGCTTATATTTTTTACTCAATTATAAGCGCACCCCCCTAAAAAACACTGATTTATTATAAGCGCACCTGCGCTTTAATCCGGGGTAATACGGTATAATATTCTGTAGTTTTGCAGTCTTGCAAGTTCAGCATCATTTGTTAGCTTATTGATTCAGCAAATATCATGTAGTTGCGCTGTGTGACCTCCACCCCCAGCAAGGACTTTGCTCTGGTATTTCTACACAGATTGGATAATGTAATTAGGGTACATTCCGCTGTGGACATGCGTCCCAATCGATGTGTCCCAATCGGGTGTACCGCTCCGAACCGCACTAAACCAGAGAAGCGAAAATTTTGAAACTAGGGTGTAATTCGGTGTAATAAGATGCAGTGCGGTAGAATCGATTGGGACACATCGATTGGGACGCATGTCCACAGCGGAATGTACCCTTAGGGCAAACAAAGCAGCATGCCAACCCACAACCTATTTACTGTACAATCATATCCATTGTTGAGATTCCTAAACATGTCAGTCCTGCGGCTGTATTTCTTAGCAATCAACATGCCACATGTATCTCCGCGCTTCACACTGTACAATCGCTGGGTCGAACATGTATTGCCAGAAAATGGTCGGCTGTCAATGCTAGCCACACAAAACTGTGAGTCAGACATTAGTGGGAACAGGATGGAAGGGGGAAAAAAGGAACCATTATATAACCTTCACACAGAGGCAGAGACAGAGACAGAGGCAAAGACATCGACAGAAGCACCAGACACAGGCAGAGGCACAGGCAGAGGCAGAGGCACAGGCACAGGCACAGGCACAGGCACAGGCACAGGCACAGGCACAGGCACAGGCACAGGCACAGGCACTAATTGCAGCGTATAGTGTATGACCTCCACCGCCCCACCCACACACAGACCTTCCCGACTCACCCTTCTCATCATATTCCCCTGCAGGGGGCTGTAAGGCAGCAGCGAGTCGCACGAGAAACCGGGATTCAACTGGAAGAAGCGCGTGGGGGAGGCGATGGCAAACGCCCGCCACAGCTGCTGGCAGCTCTGCGGGCCCTGGAGGACAGTCACGGGCACACCTACGCTCGTGTAGTTGGCTAGAGGGGGAGGAGGAGGGGGTGGTTGAGGGCTCGGTGGGGTTGGGGGTGGGGTTGATGTCACGGCTGGGGTGATTTGGGCTCGGAGTGTGCATGATATTCGCGTTTTTCCCTCTTCTAGCCACGTCTGGTTGAAGGCTATGCAGAGGAGCTGTGAAGGAGGGAGGGGGGAGAACGGGGGAGAGGGGGGAGCGGGGAGAGAGGGAGGAAAGGGGGAGAGAGGGGAGAAGGGGGAGAGGAATGTGTGAACAAACCCCCATTTTTTGTGGAGATCAAGTTCGGAGACTAAGTTGTGTGATGTGATGTGATGTGATGTGATGTGATGCGATGTGATGTGTGATATAATATATTATGATTTGATATGATGAGATATGATGAGATATGATGTGATGTGACGTGACGTGACATGACGTGACGTGATGTGATATGATGTGATGTGTGATATGATGTGATGTGATGTGATGTGATGTGTGATATGACTGCACCCACTATAACCCATTTCAACCCACCTGGCCGGGTCTGGGCCCATCGGAGCAGGTGAGGGCAGGGTTGAGCGGCTGTATCTGCGTGGAGAAGAGGGCGTTGAGTGAGTCACACGTGTCACCCTGCCGGCACATGAGGAGGAGGGGAGACAAAGAGAATGGGGGGTTCAAAAACGGCGAGAGGAGAGTGGGGAAGAGGGTGTTGATTGAGTCACATGAGTCATGCTGTCAGCACACATGTCAAGTATGGGAGGAAGTGGAAGTAAAAACGTGGTTATTCAGAGAATCAAGTTGAGCGGCTGTATCTGAGGGGAAAAGAGGGCGTTGAGTGAGTCACACATGTTACCCTGCTGGCTGACAGGGACCAGGGATGGGAGTGGGCAGAAGGAGGGAGTGGGCAGAAGGAGGGAGTGGGCAGAAGGAGGGAGTGGGCAGAAGGAGGGAGTGGGCAGAAGGAGGGAGTGGGCAGAAGGAGGGAGTGGGCAGAAGGAGGGAGTGGGCAGAAGGAGGGAGTGGGCAGAAGGAGGGAGTGGGCAGAAGGAGGGAGTGGGCAGAAGGAGGGAGTGGGCAGAAGGAGGGAGTGGGCAGATGGAGGGAGTGGGCAGATGGAGGGAGTGGGCAGATGGAGGGAGTGGGCAGATGGAGGGAGTGGGCAGATGAAGGGAGTGGGCAGATGGTGGGAGTGGGCAGATGGGGGGAGTGGGCAGATGGGGGGAGTGGGCAGATGGGGGGAGTGGGCAGATGGAGGGAGTGGATAGATGGAGGGAGTGGGTGGATGGAGGGGGTAGGAAATGCAAAAACAGGCGGCGATTCAGAGTGAGCAGTGAAGAGGGTGGTAAGTTCCTTAGTTTAAGCTCAACGGCACTTACATAAACGCACCGGCACACACCGGCGTTTACATATCGGCACTGGCGCTTACATATCGGCACTGGCGCTTACATATCGGCACTGGCGATTACATAAACGCATTGGAAATTACTTCAAAACAATGGAGCTTACATAATTAGCAGTGTACATGGAAGTGCATTGGGAGAAAGCCCGGCTCGTGACGTTGACCAGTGTGCCTACAGGGATGGGCGCTCGGCACTGGAACCCCTGCAGTCAGCACAAGGAGAGATGGAGGATGACCTTTGAGTTGACTCAAATGTACATGGCCGTTCATGCATTGGGAGGAAGCCCTACTGCAGGTGACGTTGACCAGCGCGCCTGCTCACAGGGATGGGCGCTCGGCATTGGAACCCCTGCAGTCAGCACAAGGAGAGAGGGAGGATTGGATGGGTTGGAACAAGGGGGAGTCAGAGAAAGAGGATTGGATTGGTTGGTAGGAACGTGGGTAGTTGACAAAAAAGAAAGACTATAGACGCAAGATGGGAAGGGGTTATGGGTTTGGAAGCTCTGCAGTTAGAACAAGGAGAGATTGGGACTGGGCAGGCAGAATGGGTGGAGGGAAGAATGAGGGGAAAGTGAGGGGCAGTGAGGGAAAGTGAGGGGAAGTGAGGGGGTTTGAGGGGAAGTGAGGGACTGTGAGGGGGGTTGAGGAGCAGTGAGGGGCAATGAGAGGCAGGTGACCAGAAAGCAGACAGGTGACTAGACAGGGTGCAGTATAAAAGGCTATGCGGTGGGATGTGACATGAAATGAAACGTGGCTGCTCCCCCAGCCCAACCACACACTAGCCTATATTGGAATCACTTTTGAGTCTTCTCACAAGTGATGCGATGTGATGTGATGTGATGTGATGTGATGTGATGTGATCTGAAGTGTGCTGACCCCCAAACACAGCCTAAGCCTCTCTTCAGTTTAACACCTCCCTGACCAAAGCCTTTCATACCTTGTTTTGGGTGAAGAATTCTGCCTGGGTAAGCCCATAGGTGTTGAGGATGAGAGCGCATGTGAGGCCGTAGGGTGACAGGAAGGTGGGCATTCGAGTCGCAGCCAATCGCACTGCATGCATGGGATAGGATGAATGGGGTAAGATGCATGGGGTAGGATGCATGGGGTAGGATGCATGGGGTAGGATGCATGGGGTAGGATGCATGGGGTAAGCATACATGTCGAGTTAATTTTCCGGATTGCGATTTCGGCGCGAATTTGCGACCCGCGTTCTACTGTACGTTTTTATTCCGGGCTGCCCATAATAGTTTCGAGGCAGCGTGAGCTGTTTCGACGCTGCGTCAATCGACAAGCGCAAAAGCGAAGGTTCTAACGCTTGGCTTGGCGCGTGGCGTTTTTGGCGTTTTCAGCGCCAAGGCCATCACAGTTCCAGGTTGTGTTCAAGTTGGCACCAAGTTGTGTTCAAGTTAACACCAAGTTCTGTTCAAGTTGACACCAAGTTGTGTTCAAGTTGACACCAAGTTGTGTTCAAGTTGACACCAAGTTGCGTTCAAGTTGACACCAGGTTGTGTTCAAGTTGACACCAAGTTGTGTTCAAGTTGACACCAAGTTGTGTTCAAGTTGACACCAGGTTGTGTTCAAGTTGACACCAAGTTGTGTTCAAGTTGACACCAAGTTGTGTTCAAGTTGACACCAAGTTGTGTTCAAGTTGACACCAAGTTGTGTTCAAGTGACACCAGGTTGTGTTCAAGTTGACACCAAGTTGTGTTCAAGTTGACACCAAGTTGTGTTCAAGTTGACACCAAGTTGTGTTCAAGTTGACACCAAGTTGTGTTCAAGTTGACACCAAGTTGTGTTCAAGTTGACACCAAGTTGTGTTCAAGTTGACACCAAGTTGTGTTCAAGTTGACACCAAGTTGTGTTCAAGTTGACACCAAGTTGTGTTCAAATTGAGACCAAGTTGTGTTCAAGACTCAACTAGCGCTTTTGGCAGATAGCATTTTCCCTTTAAGAGCAGAGACGACTTTTGAGTCGACTCAAGACTCATCTAGGGCTTTTGGTAGACCCTACTCTAGTTTACCACCTAGCATTTTCTTTTTAAGAGCAGAGAATGGTGGTAAGCAAGCAGGCAAGAGCAAGTGTTACAGTGTTACGCAGAGGTAACAGCTGGCATTTCCTTTGTGGAAGAATCAAAAGGGGAAGAAGGGTGAGGGGCAGAGGCATGGGGTAAACAAACCCACCCACGTCCCTTTTGGGGACAGAGGGAGGTGGTAAGAGAAGAGTGACACACACTGGTGGCAGCGGCCAGTGGCTTTTGGGAAGAAGCAGATGGGGAAGCAGCACGAGGGGCAGAGGATTTTTGAGGCGCCTCATAAGTCGCCTCAAAAGTTTTGAGGCGCCTCAAAAGCAGATGGGGAAGCAGCACGAGGGGCAGAGGATTTTTGAGGCGCCTCATAAGTCGCCTCAAAAGTTTTGAGGCGCCTCAAAAGCAGATGGGGAAGCAGCACGAGGGGCAGAGGATTTTTGAGGCGCCTCATAAGTCGCCTCAAAAGTTTTGAGGCGCCTCAAAAGCAGATGGGGAAGCAGCATGAGGGGCAGAGGGTGGTAACAAGCTAGCAAGCGAGCGAGGAGCTTAGGGGTACGCACACTGGTAACAGCGGGCAGCGCCTTTGGGGTAGAAGTAGAAGGGGAAGTAGGGCGAGGGGCAGAGGATGGTAACAAGCTAGCAAGCGAGCAAGACCATGTGATACGCACAATGGTAACAGCGGGCAGCGCCTTTGGGGTAGAAGTAGAAAGGGAAGTAGGGCGAGGGGCAGAGGCTAGTAGAAGCAAGCAATCAAGCAAGACCACCTAATCTGACCATGTGGTACGCACAATGGTAACAGCGGGCAGCGCCTTTGGGGTAGAAGTAGAAGGGGAAGTAGGGCGAGGGGCAGAGGCAGGAAAAGGTGCCGTCTGTGTCATCGATGCACACCCCCGGGGCACATGGGTTGGTGGCGAGCTGGCGACACGTGAAGGAATCTGGTGGACGGGATGGGCGGGGAACAAGAGGAGGAGAAGCAAAAGGAGGTGGAATATTAGGGTGGAAGGGGAGTAGGTGCCGTCTACGTCATCAATGCACACCCCCGGGGCACATGGGTTGGTGGCAAGCTGGCGACACATGAAGGAATCTGGTGAAGGGAGGGGGGCGAGGAAGGGGACAGAGAATCGGGGGAGCAGAGTGGGAAGAGAGCAGGAGTGAGGGATTAGCACAGCGGTACAGCATCAATGCACAACCCAGGGACACGTGAAGAAACATGGTGAGGGGTTGTCTTTTGAGGCGCCTCAAAACGGTTGTCTTTTGAGGCGCCTCAAAAGTGAAGGAGCAGCACAGCGGTACAGCATCAATGCACAACCCAGGGACACGTGAACAAACATGGCGAGGGGTTGGGGGAAAAAGGGGACGGTGGGGAAATGGGACAGGGGGACGAGGGATGGGGGACACGGGGGTAATGAGCAAGGAGGATGGAGAACAAGAAAGGAGGAGAAAGGGGACATGGGAAGGAAGGAGAAGAAGGGGGAAGGGGAAAGGTGGTGGGAGAAGGAGGGGAAACGAGAAAGAAGGGTGTCGCAGGAGTAATCATAGTGCATAGAGTGCAAACCCTTTGCATCTTCTCAAGAGTGCCGTGAATTGAGAACGAGTGCATGCGTACAAACCTATGCCATAGAGGTGACTTTTGAGTCGACTCAAGAGAATGAGAGTCACCTCATTTTCTCAAGAGTGTCGTGAATTGAGAACGAGTGCATGCGTACAAACCTACGCCATAGAGGTGACTTTTGAGTCGACTCAAAAGCCACCTCATTTTCTCAAGAGAGTTGTGAATCGAGAAGGAGTGCATGCCTACAGAACTATGCCATCCACAAACAAACCAAAAGGGAACCTACCGCACTCCACCCCTCACCTTCCGCACTCCGCCTCACACCCACCGCACTCCACCTCTCACCTACCGCACTCCGCCTCTCACCTACCGCACTCCGCCTCTCACCCACCGCACTCCGCCTCTCACCTACCGCACTCCGCCTCTCACCCACCGCACTCCGCCTCTCACCCACCGCACTCCGCCTCTCACCCACCGCACTCCGCCTCTCACCTATCACACTCCACCTCTCACCCACCGCACTCCACCTCGTGCCTACCGCACTCCAACTCTTGCCTACCACACTCCACCACTCCACGCCTCACCAGGGAAGCAGGATTGCAGGCCGGCAAGGTGTGAAGGTTGAAAGGAGGGGAGATTGAAGGGGCACTTGCAGGAGGGCACAAGGATAGAGGAGTCCCAAGGGGCACGTGCCTTGGTGCATGCACCTGTTCCACAGGGGAGCACTGGAGAACCCTTGCACGGATCGGTGTCTGTTGGGTAAGGTAATGAGGAGAGGGAGAGAGGGAATGAGGCATGGGGAGAGACGAGAGAGGCTCCACGGGGCAGGTGCCTTGGTGCACGCCCGTGCCACAGGGGAGCACCGGAGAAGCCTTGCAGGGGTCGGTGTCTGTTGGGGAGGAGGTAGGATGGGAACGGGGAGTATGCAAAGGTATGAGTTAGGAGGAGAGAAAAGACCAGATATGCGACAGCATATGCTTCATTTCAAAGCATGCAGCCTTGGAAGAGGGGGGCACTGGGTCTGTGGGGAGGCCTTGCAGGGGTGCTGTCAATCAAAAGGGATGGATGGGAATGGGAATGGTGAGCACTGGAGAGGCGTTGCATGGGTAGTGTCGAGTGGAAGGAAAGGATGGGAATGGGGAGTGGAAAAGAGGGTGTGTGTTGTGGAGAGAGGGAGAGAGGAGTCCCTCCAAGCAGGGTGGTTAGAAAGAGCGGTCAAAGTATGTATTTTGAGGCGCCTCAAAATGCACCTCACTGCTCGCGGATTTCATACGGAGAGGATTATTACAGCTTGGAAGTGTGCGTGTAACTTGCAAAAGTTACTGGTGCGCGCGCGGTTACATCAACGAATTGGTTGACAAAGACTTTTCTCGAAGGCTGACTTTGCACCCTGGGTGTACCCCATTTGCTTTGTTGGCCGAGTGCATGTCACTCTGGGTAGTCGACTGTACATATGTAGATCTCGAGGGCATTTTGCTAGCTACTTAGCTTGCTTCTGTCCGAACTCTTTCTCTTTTGTGGATCTGAGTCACACTGATGAAGGCTAAGCGGGTATGATCCCCGTAAGCCGAAACATGTTTGTGCTGTAAGGATTCTCTTTAGTGAAGGGGTTTTACGGTTTCTACTGATCGTTTTTCCAGGAAAGATTTTTTCAGTTTCGTTTCCTTTTGTTGCTTTAAGCGCCACTCTTTAGAATTGCTGCTCTTCCACTATGAGCGAAGACCCTTGGGACACTGAATGGTTTCCATCTGAAGAGGAAAACGCCGATTCTGAAGAACGCAACTCGTTGAAGAGGCAACGTAGGAATGGAAACAAGTCGCGTTCTGCTCGAGAGGCTTCCGGGCAGCAGCAGACCGGCAACAAATTTCCGCAGCTGGCGTTAACCTACGAACCGATTCTACGAAGTGAGCAACCGCGTGATCCTCCCGCTGGACCTTCGCGAATTCGTCCTACCGTCATGGCGGAATCCACTGGTGCGACTCCCATCCAGGATCCTTTCAAGGGATGGCTTGCGGAAGCAGTGAGAGATTTCCGGGACGATTTCAAGAAGCTGCTTAAGGCGAAAAGCAAGCTTAAGAAGATGATGGAACTCGATGCTGAAGGCACGATTCTGCATAGCATCCGTACTAAAGCTGTCGATTTCCAGACTAACATTGACTCTGTCAGGGAGAAAGCTAAGGCGTCCGTTGCTGAAATCCATCTGCAGAATCAGAAGCGGATCCAGGCAGAGTTTATCGCCTCGAAAGCACTGGAGGTTGAGGAGATCGCGAAGGCGGCTAACTCGCGTATCACTGCTCTGGCGACAAGGATGGAGGATTACATACAGGGGCTGAGTGCGGATCCGGACCTGGTGGTGTCTGACGCTGCCAAGGAGAAGTTTCGTCTACTCAAAGGATTCTGCATAGAGAAAGCCCAAGCCGACATCGCTGCTGCCAAGGATGAACTTACCATCCGGGAGCTGGATAGACAACGCAAGAAAGCCGCCGAGGATTTGAAGAAAGCTGCTGCGTCTGAGGAGGTGCAGGAGATGGAGCTAGAACCTGCGTTAGAGGAGATTCTCGCGAAGCAGGTTAAGAAGATTGAAGACAAGCTTCGCAAGGAAATTACTGCGAAGGTTGAGGCCAGTCTTACGAAGAAACTGCAGAAGAATCTCTCTCTTAAGGAACAAGACCCTGCGCAGGCCACTGCTGCCAATCCGAAGCAGAAGAATACGGCGGGAAAGCAGAAAAGTCAGGAGAATGGCAACGCTGCACCTGCTGGATCGAAGCCGAGGAGGAAGCGGGGTGGGAAGAAAAAGAATCAGAAGCAGAATTCCGGCACCGACAAAGACAAGCAGGCGGGAGGCCCTGTCAAATCTGATGCGGCCAAGGGACCAAAAAACGACGGAGGCGGCCCCGAAAAAGGGCCGCGCAAGAAGAACTAACCAGCCATGAGCTGGCTCTCCGTTGGTTTGGACGGCTGACGCCTCGGCAAGCTGCGTTGCGCGTCCAAAACCGCGGAGTACACAACCTTAGCGCTAAAATCTTATCTTCGGATGAGAAGACAGCGCTGGGGTTGGGTTTGAAGTTCATCCCCACGCCCACCGTTTCCCTTTCGGCCGGAATTGAGCTCGATCAGCTTTTCCGGCAGATCTCGTTACATTTTTTCTTCAAGGATGCGGACGGTCCACTTAGGGATTCGCGGTTTCGTGTGCGTAACCCGACGTGGCTGCCCGATCGGATGGTGATTCCGGAGCAGGACTTCAAGGACTCGTCTTCTGACTTGTCCGTCTTGTTGAAGGCATCTCAGCCTGACCGACGTCGGAATCTTTCAGCTGGCGTTAGGAAGGCGTTGCGCACCATCGCTGCGGATCGAGACGTGGTGATTAAACCGGCTGACAAGAATGTTGGGATTACCGTGATGGATCGGGGACATTACATTCGGTTGTGCATGGAGCACCTTGGTGACAGCACGACTTACCCTCTGCTCTCTCACGATCCTACCGCCGATGTCTACCGGAAGCTACGTGAACTGCACAGCGTTTGGGGCCCTGCTCTTCCCGAAACTTTGTGGAAGTATTTTTTCAACCAGCCGCCTGGAGGGTGGAAGCCCGCGGCTTCTACATCTTGCCGAAGCTGCATAAGAAGAAGCTTGTGGGGCGCCCGATCGCCGCCTCACACTCATGGGTGACTTCGAACGTTAGCCGTTGGCTCGATGCTGAACTACGACCGTGGGTACTGCAGCAGCAGACATACCTCCGTGATTCCCTCTCGCTACTCTTGAAGCTGGAAGAAACCGCCTTCCCGAAAGGGATCTTCCTAGCCACCTACGACGTTACTGCTCTCTACCCCAGCATTCCACTTCAGAGAGGTATCGACGCAGTGAGTAGCATTCTTCAGAGTGGGAAGTACCATAATCACCTCCCGATCATCGCCTTGCTGGAGTGGGTGATGATGAACTCTGTTGTTGAGTTCGACGGCCAGTTGTACTTACAGCGACAAGGAACTGCTATGGGAACTCCTGCAGCAGTGTGTTTCGCGGTGCTGTTTATGAGCCGTCTGGACGAGGTGCTGAAACACAGGTGGTCCGGGACGCAGCCGTTGTGCCACGTGAGATACATCGATGATGGCTTCATTGTTTGGCCAGGTTCTCGGAGTGAGTTGGAGTGCTATCTCAGCACTTTCAACGGTTTGGATCCCAACATCAAGTTGACGTGGCACATCTCGGACTCCTCGGCTAACTTTCTTGATATGGTCATCTTCAAGGGACCACGTTTTGCCGAGAAGGGTAACCTGGATCTGAAGACATTTCAGAAACCCATGAATAGTTACCTGTACCTGCCGTTTTCTTCTTACCACCCGCGACACTGCAAGGTTAGCTTCATCCGTGCAGAACTGAGACGGTACCTGTTACGCTCGACATCTGCCAAAGCTTTCCTAGCCTCTAAGCACGAATTTTTCCATCGGCTTAGACGTCGCGGTTATCCTGGGGACTTTCTTCTGCCCATTTTTCGGAGTGTGTTCTTCCGAAACCGCCCTCTCCTTTTGGAGACTACTGCTGCGCGCCAAGCTCACAAGCTCATCCCTCTCCCCCAACGTGGACCCCTGGTCTTGAAGGTTCTGTTCACTCCGGTGACAGCTCGCCTCAGGCTGGGGGTCCTTTTGAGGCGCCTCAAAATGCACCTCACTGCTCGCGGATTTCATACGAAGAGGATTATTACAGCTTGGAAGTGTGCGTGTAACTTGCAAAAGTTACTGGTGCGCGCGCGGTTACATCAACGAATTGGTTGACGAAGACTTTTCTCGAAGGCTGACTTTGCACCCTGGGTGTACCCCATTTGCTTTGTTGGCCGAGTGCATGTCACTCTGGGTAGTCGACTGTACATATGTAGATCTCGAGGGCATTTTGCTAGCTACTTAGCTTGCTTCTGTCCGAACTCTTTCTCTTTTGTGGATCTGAGTCACACTGATGAAGGCTAAGCGGGTATGATCCCCGTAAGCCGAAACATGTTTGTGCTGTAAGGATTCTCTTTAGTGAAGGGGTTTTACGGTTTCTACTGATCGTTTTTCCAGGAAAGATTTTTTCAGTTTCGTTTCCTTTTGTTGCTTTAAGCGCCACTCTTTAGAATTGCTGCTCTTCCACTATGAGCGAAGACCCTTGGGACACTGTATGTGCTGTGCAGGGACACATGGGAGTGCAGGGACACATGGGAGTGCAGGGACACATGGGAGTGCAGAGACACATGGGAGTGCAGGGACACATGGGAGTGCAGGGACACATGGGAGTGCAGGGACACATGGGAGTGCAGGGACACATGGGAGTGCAGGGACACATGGGAGTGCAGGGACACATGGGAGTGCAGGGACACATGGGAGTGCAGGGACACATGGGAGTGCAGGGACACATGGGAGTGCAGGGACACATGGGAGTGCAGGGACACATGGGAGTGCAGGGACACATGGGAGTGCAGGGACACATGGGAGTGCAGGGACACATGGGAGTGCAGGGACACATGGGAGTGCAGGGACACATGGGAGTGCAGGGACACATGGGAGTGCAGGGACACATGGGAGTGCAGGGACACATGGGAGTGCAGGGACACATGGGAGTGCAGGGACACATGGGAGTGCAGGGACACATGGGAGTGCAGGGACACATGGGAGTGTAGGGACACATGGGTGTGCAGGGACACATGGGAGTGCAGGGACACATGGGTGTGCAAGGGGGTGCGTGGGGTTACAAGAAACAAGAATCCTCCCTCCCCTCTTCCTAACATATGGAGGGGGAGGGAGCATGTGCTGCGCAGGGGTGGTATGCACCAATGGAGAGGATGGGAACGGAGTATGGGAGGGAGGGAGAGAGGGAGGGAAACCCTCTTTCCCTTCCCCCCATCTCGCCATCTTTCCCTTTCCCCCGTCTCGCCCTCTCTCCCTTCCCCCCATCTCGCCCTCTTTCCCTCCCCCCCATCTCGCCCTCTTTCCCTCCCCCACATCTCGCCCTCTTTTCCCCCCCCATCTCGCCCCCTTCCCCACCCCCCTACCTGTGAATCGGAAGGTCCAGGAGGAGAGGGCGACGGGGGGAGGCAGGCGGCCAGTGGGGGGAGGGAGAGCAGCGCTGGTGAACCCAACGAACACATGCCCAAAGAATGGTGACGATAGGTCCGTTGCACTACTGCTGCTGTCACTGTCACTGCTGTTACCGCTGCTGCTGTTGCTGCCGGTACCATTGCCGACGCCACTACTGCTCCCACTAAAGGCAGAGGGCCCAGTGAGAGCAGCACAGAGGTCAAAAGAGACGTTCATGCTGTCTACTAGAAGAGGGGGTTGGTACCATCGGATAAGCATCTCCTTGCTTCTCCCGTTATAGTCAACCCTCATCTGTAGCACATCCTCTGGCTCAACACCAGTTAACAACCTCTTTGAGAACATCGAAGTCATGTTGAAATCGGTGTTAACACCTAAGTGTATAAAATCTACATTGTCAGTTTCCGGGTGCCATTCCACAGCTACACTCCGCGCGCCGTCTGGCCAGCTGCCATTAGCGAGTCGCGAGGACGGGTCCCGGCCGTACCCCATATAAGCCCCGCCCAGGCCCACGCTCGCATGCGTGCTTATAACGAATGCGAGGCCTTGAGACGCTGATACATTTATGGAAAAGCCGTATGTGATGGTGAATGAACGAGCCATGCAGGTGGGAGGTTCGGTTGCTGTGGATTGGGGAGGTGAGGAGGAAGGTGAGGACGAAGGAGAGGAGCGGGGGGAGCTTTTGCGCGGACGAGGCAAAGGAGGTGGGAAGGGAGGGGAGGAGGAGGAGTAGAGGAGGGGGAGACGGCGAGGGAAGAAGAGGGCTCCAGGGGCGGGATCGTCTGATTGGCCGCTGGATGATGCCACGTCAGCAGCGACGGAGAGATCAGCGGCGAAGAAGCGCTTCCCGGTGCTGCCACGTATCAGCAGGGGAGTGGCTGGCGTGATGTAAGGGAAGGAGAACGAGTCTGCCGCCCAAAACGGAAGCGGATCCTCCGCTGCTGGGGTGAAAGCGGGGGAGGTTATGGGGAGGGGAGGAGACGGGGGTAGAATGGGGGAGAGACGGGGGGAGAAAGGGGGAGAGACGGGGGGAGAATGGGGGAGAGACGGGGGGAGAAAGGGGGAGAGAGGGTTGGATGAAACAGAAGCGGATCCTCCGCTGCTGGGATTGGCATGGTACGGGGGCCGGGGGCTGTGGGGGAGGGTTAGGGTAGGCATATGAAAATGCTCAACTCTACGCTAGGGTATGGACCGTGAGACAAGGACTATGGTAGGTGGAGACCGTGAGACAAGGACTATGGTAGGTGGAGACCGTGAGACAAGGACTATGGTAGGTGGAGACTGGTCTATGGCAAATTCGTTTGGCAAAATGGGGTTGGCAAGGTGTGAGACGGGGTGAGGGGAGGGGGCAGGGGAGGAGGCGGGGGTGGGGTGGGGTGGGGAGGGGAGAGAACGTGAAGCGGGTTGAGGTTCGGGCGAAGGCTTGCGTGAAGTCATCACACCAGTCGAGAAGAATAGTTGGGCTGTGTGTCAGAAACACAACCACTAACCACTAAAATAAAAGGGTTTGTTAAGTAGCGGGTGAGTGTGCTCATAACCCTCTTAGCAGCGTTCTTGCATCTCTCCCCTATGATCAATCGGGGATCCTCAATTCAGGTCGACTGACACTCCCTCCCAATCACCGCAATGCCCTTAGACACGGCACAGCGACACGCCACATGGGCGCCAGCATGTGCGCACACAGGGATTCAAATCCGAGACCTTCGCTCTGATACCATGTTAAAATCTCAACCACTTACCATTGGAATAAAATGGTTTGTTAAGTAACGGGTGAGTACGTCCATAACCTCCAGGCAACGTGCCTGTAACCTTTCACTATGATCAATCGGGGATCCCTAGTGCAGATCTTCTGTCAGTGTGTGCATGCCTTCTTTGTCTGCACCATGGGGAGTCATGGCCCCATGGGGTGTAACCATATAACTTTGTAAGTAAGCACATAATAAGGACCCCATTCACCCGTGTGCGCCCGATCCTTCCCTCCCTTTGCCTGCCAACCGATGCTGCGGCAAGAAATCTCACACACCACAAGCCTGCATCAGGCAATGGGAGACGATTGAACCCAACTCATCCTCCCATATTTCAAAATTCCACCCCAGTATACATGGGCACCGAGGCGAGTTTTTCGCCTCGGCTCGTACAAGGCACTCGTTCGAGGGCGAGTGACAAGTGTGCTTTTCCCTGAAAAAAACTCGTCCGAGCCGAGGCGAGTTTAACTCGGCGAGTTTTTAGAACTCGGCGAGCACTCGTTGCGCTGATGAGCTTTTTGAAAAGCTTGTGCATCTATATGGCAATGAGCCGAGCTTCCCTCGGCTCGACCGAGCTTTCCTTGAAGCTCGGACGAGCTTTTGAAAAGCTCGTGCTATTTAGCCGAGTCACGAGCTTGCATTTGCCCGGGAAAAGCTCGTACGAGCAAAACTCGGCTCGGAACAAAGCTCGTCCGAGTGTGCCTGGGGACGAGCCGAGTAAGACTCGGCTCGGCTCGTTGCCCATGTATACACCCCAGCACCTCGTGCCCGCATGCAAAACAACAAATCATAATAGGATAAGCAGATAAGCAAACCTGTAGGTTTCCTCACACATGTCGAGCTATTTACAGGTGTCAAAATCATCCAAGGGTCAATATCCCTAAAAAGGGGCTCAAACAAGGATGAAACACCTGAACTCACCCTCCCTCACTTGGAAACCGTAACTCACCTCGTGCACCTCCCAACAACTCACCATCTGCTACTTCAAAGCTCCACCCCAGCACCTCGTGCTGTTGAACCTGCTCCGCCCCCTTGCCCGTGGCCGCTGTGAATCCCACAAACAGCGGCGGGGGAGCCGCTGCTGCCTGCGGGTCGTTCCCCCCCAGCCACTCGCATGTGTCCAGAAACATGGAGAGGACAGCAGAGCGCGGGAGAGGAGGGGAGACGGGGGAGGAAGAGCGAGACGAGGAGCGGGGAACAGGGGAGAGCCAGACGGAGAGCTGCGAGGAGGAGGCGTTGTACTGGATGGTGGCGAGGAGGGTTTGACCGGCGTTGAGGGCGGGAATGCCGACGGGGTGCACGGGGGCAGAGGCGAGAGAGAGCATGCTGCCGTGCAGGTTCACCCCCACGTGGTGGTCCGGCCGGTCGAAGAACTCGGGAGAAAAGGACGTGTCGAATTCTACTGCCAGGCTCCGCTGCTGCTGTGGATGAGGGGGGGAGGATGGGTGGGTGGAGAGGAGGATGAGGGCCTTTTGAGACATCATTGTCAATCTTCACTGCCAGGCTCCTGTGCTGCTAAGCATGAGCGGAAAGAGGAGAGGAGGGGGGAGGGGGGGGAGGGGCAGCAACGGGGAGCAACAGATAAAGAGAACTGCAGAAGCGCCAAGCAGCAGCAGCGCAAGACATGCAGAAGAACACCAGTGGACAATTACCAGGGAGGACGAAAGGCAAGAGATGGAAGGCGAGAGACGGAGGGTGAGAGACGGAAGAGATGAAAGTGATGAGCATACCTCCTCTTGGTAGGCCGAACGAGGGCAATGGAATGGTATGATCACAAAGGACATGTTCCGGAGGTAACACATACCTGAGGTACCACATACCTGAGATATGACACATTGACACGTACCTGAGATGACACGTGCCTGAGATGACACATACCTGAGATGGCACGTACCTGAGATGACACATACCTGAGATGACACATACCTGAGATGACACATACCTGAGATGACACGTACCTGAGATGACACATATATGGGATGACACGTACCTGAGACGACACATACCTGAGACGACACGTACCTGAGACGACAAGTACCTGAGATGACACGTACCTGAGATGACACGTACCTGAGATGACACGTACCTGAGATGACACGTACCTGAGATGACACGTACCTGAGATGCAACGTACCTCAGATGACACGTACCTGAGATGACACGCCACTGCTGGAACTGGAATTATCAGCACCAGTCATGCTCCACGGGGGCAGCAGCACGCGGCCGTAGCCCAGGGAGGGCCCCGGCAGGCCGAGTGTGGGCGACGGGTGATAAGATGAACGTACCTCAGAGGCAGAGGCACCCGTCGTGCTCCCCGGGGGCAGCAGCACGCGGCCGTAGCCCAGGGAGGGCCCTGGCAGGCCGAGCGTGGGAGACGGCAGCATCACAAAGGCCAAGCCCTCGCCGCCCAGCCCGGCGGCGTTGGGGGAGGAGATGCGGAAGGCGAAGGAGGTGGAGAAGGAGAAGGGGCGGCAGGGGGAGGCGGGCGTGGCGGGGGCGAGCAGCGCGAATGGAGAGGGGTGCAGCGCGAGAGCAGCAGAGTTGAGGTCGGAGAGCGTGGTGAGGGAGAGGGCGGCGCGGTTGCGGCGAGCTGAGCCGGCTGTGAGGAGCGGATGGGCGGTGGAGAGCGGCCAGTGGGAGAAGGACTTGAGTGGAGAGGGGTCGGCTGCAGGGAAGTGACAGGGATGGGGAATGGGGGGAAGGGCGGCAGGGGGAATAGGAAGGGATGGGAAAGGGAGGGGGAATGAGTGAGTCTCAGGTGCTGGAGAGCCAGTAGGAAAAGGTCTTGAGAGGGGAGGGGCCGGCTGCAGGGCAGTGACAGGGATGGGGAATGGGGGGAAGGGTGGGAGGAGGTGAACGGGAAGTGTAGGAGCAGAAGTGCAATGAGAGATCGATTGTGCACTTGAGTGGGAGTTGAGCATGCTGCATGTGTGCAGCGCATGCTATCACCAACCGTACCTGTGACACACCTGTGACCCTGCCAGCCATTGCTGCATCTCTGAGTGACTCACTGCGGGTGGGCATGACAGATGCGAGGTCGATAGCCGTTGTCCCCGCTCCTCCTCCCGCTTCCAACGCCACACCCGCTCCCTTTACCACCACCGCCTTCACTCCCGCTCTCGCTCCTGCTCCTGCTCCTCCTCCTGCCGTACTCGCTGCAACAGTGGTGCTGGTGGCGCCGATGCTACTGCTGTCACTGCCGCTGGCAGCTACACTGCTAGTGGCACTGGCAATACTGCTGGTGGTGGCAACGGTGGCAGTGCTGCTGGTGCTGTTGCCAGTGCTGACGCCTCGAATCACCAAGTGCAGCGCCACTCCCCCGGGAGGCACTACCAACGAGGAAGGGGAAGAGGCGGAGGAAGAAGAGGAGGAAGAAGAGGAGGAGGAGGAATCCGGGGGGTCAGGGAGGGGGAAGAGGAGGGGTCCCACTTGGAACCAAGGCAAGGCGCCGGACAAACTCGCGCTGCTCCCCCCACACGGCACACCCACCCGCCACTCCGCCCACACCTGCTCCCTCGCTCCTCCTTCCCCCGCCCCTCCCCCAGTTGCTCCCCCTCCCCCTGCTGTGGCGGCGGCGGAGGCGTTCAGCGGAACTGCCAGCAGCAGCACCTTCAACAGCCGCTCCGCCTCCCCTTCCCCCTCCGCGCACAGGCTGGCGCGCGCAAAGAACGAGAGGGACAGCTGGCGCGGGGACTGCTGCTGCTCCGCCTGCTGCGCCTGCTGCGAGTCATTGCTGGTCGGCGCCGCAGCGGGTTTGAGTTCGCACAGCGCTTGCGCCACGCCTGGCCCGCCAAACGCGCTACCACCACTACTAGAGTTGCTACCATTGCTACTTCCAGAAGCGTCGTCGTCACTAGGCGACGCGGAAATAACGGACGTCAGCAGTAAGAAACGGGACCCGTCAGCTGCCAGTAGGGTGTCCGTGACTCCACCGACCCCGTTATTTATTGACACGTCAGCAGGCGACGCCGCCCCCGCTGCTGTCGCGATCGCTTCTGCCAGTGTCGCACCTGCTGACGTAAGCAATGGTCCGAGTTTTGCGCCGCCAGATGCGGCGGTGGCTAAGAGCTCGTCGGTTGAGATTGTTTCCCCAGGTTCCAACGCGCGCCACGGGAATAAGTACGGCCATGGATCGCACGACGCGTTCAGCTTCTTGCGGCGCCATCCAGTATCGAGACAGCTTGTATCGAAGCTTGGGTTGGAGAGGAGGTTTGACGATTCACCTGTGAGGGCAAAGAAGGGGGTATAATGGATGAAATTTGGGGGTAATTGATCGGATCATGGCAACGAAACCTTATAAGACGCAGCTACGCGAGTTTTTGACACGCTGGCGGCAATAGGGAGGGCTTTGAACGATAAAACGGGAGTAGCGAAATGCACGCCAGCAACCGACCGGAAAGGGAAAGAAGGGGATGAAACCAGTATGACGGCTGAAGGCAAAAGGAACGAGTAAAATACGGAAAGAGAGGGTGACGAAAATAGATTGAGTAGAGACCCGTCATTACAAGTGTGCTTACGACAGTATAGCGACTAAACGGTCAACGGCGACGAAACGGTCAACGGCGTCGAAACAGTCAGTGGCGACGAAACAGTCAACGGCGACGAAACAGTCAACGGCGACGAATCAGTCAACGGCGGTGATACCAGGAACGGGAAACGGGGAACCTCTTACTTGGATTGGTAAGGTTATGGCAGTCGACGAGACCATCAGCGACACGAACGAAGGCTACGAGATAGAGGAGAAACGTAACCCGTCGGAAAATCGCGACATGGAGAAGACTCGTGGCTCCTGGTTGAACCCGCAATCTGCGGCGAGAGATGCGGCAGGAATTCATCGGCTCCGACGCGTTTCTGAGGAGAACTTTTCCCAAACGGACTACTTTTTCTGACTCCACGTAGACCGCTTATCGGAAAGGTTGCACTCTGAAAGAAGCTCAGACGTTCCGGAGAGAATCCCGGACTGACACTTGCCATTCCGAGTACAGAAAGCACAGCGACGATAATGGCAGTCGGCCTGTTCCGACGTGCTATGCTGTGGCTCCTAGTACTACAGGAAGCACAGCGATGATAACGGCAGTTACGAACTGTTGACGAGAGCGCTACGCTCATGTGGGCAGGGCACAGCTGGAGCTTGTGCGGGGAGTGGAGGAGATGGGGAGTGTCTGTACTGTACACCCATACTCGTGGTCATAATCGCGAGAGTCCTAACAGTATCTTAGCCTCTGGTCACCTTAGGTGTACAGTATCTCGTGGTACTGTACACATACCGCACTGTACACGAAGTTCAGCCCCCACCCGCAGAGTTAGGGCGCGTGTCTTTTGCTGTAGAGGTTCGAAAATTTGGTTAAACTTTTGCTGGTAACCCTAATCGCGAATCTCGTTAAATGTTTTGCTTGTGCATCGTGTGTCCTAGTACAACATTGTAGATGACGAATGGGTTGAACTTTCGGTTGAAACTATGCATGCACAAAAATTCACTCGTGTGTCCTCTTGACAATGCACTAGGTAGTTGCGAATCTAGGCGACGGTCGTAGCACATTTCGTGCGCACGACGACTTCGGAAAAAGGGTTACTGTGTCGCCAAAAACGCGTCAAAAACAGGGTAACCTACGTAGGTTAACCGCGACTCGGAAAAGTTCAACTTCGATTGTTGAACTTTCGCGTGTCTTTTGGTTCTTGTGGGTTGAGGAGCAGCGACTCGGGCTACAGCAACCAATATTGTTGAGCCTAGGTCGACCTAGGTTCAACTGCGTAAGTTCAACTCAAAACTCGAGTTTTGCATAGATTTTACAAAAGACACGCGCCCTTAGGGCGAGGCCAGGTTGTACAACTTTTTGCACGCCCACTACGGTTAACTTTGTTTCAAAACGGTGCAGAGCGGAAGCCACTAACCGATTTTCACCTTGTTTAAACGTCTTGAACCACGATACAAGAACTGTAAACCCGCGAGAATTGTATAACCTGACGTCGCCCTTACACCCCCGCAGTTAGCCGAAATTGCGCGAAATCAAGCTCGACCTTCACGAAGGAGGGTGGGTGCGATTGTTTCGCGAAAGGGTTTCCTCGTGCAACTGGCTCTCGCCTCGACGCTCAGGGCTGCACGACGTGGCTCGGAGGATCGCCCGACTCCCGCAGCCCCAGATACATGTCATGTCATCCTTTTCGCAATTGAGGATACTCGCAGCTCATTGGCGCTTGTACCGATATCAGTTACCGACGTAACCTGGCTGGTGCATCATTTCCCCGAGAAGATTGACCACACCACGCCCCCACCCATCCACCCTTTCGGTGGGACCAGACCAGAGCAGACCGCTAGAACCCCGATCCGATCCGGCACACACCAAAGTAGGCACCCGCAAACAACCACCGACATTCTACCATGCAAATTAGGTGTCCGTAACTCGAACTGCCGAAAGGCAATGCGAAAGTCTAGCGATGGACGAGCGGATAGGAGCCGTAGTTCCTAACCAATTACCGGAATCCCAGCAGGTGACGGATTCTGAGACGGTAACGGAGTCTGACCAGGCTCGGGAAACGATTCTCGAGCCGCCAAGAAAGTCGTCTGATCAGGGACGCGAAACGGTTCAGGCGATTGTGGCGGAGAAAAAGAAGCTTACCCGTCCTCGTTCTTCTTCCGCGAAACGGAAACCGCAGGACAAGGGGAAGGGAAAGGAGCGAGCGAACGAGCAGCAGGGAGAGGAGGAGCAGTCTAGAACAAAACGAGAAAAGGTTTTGCCTGGTCGGTTAGCTTCAGGGGCTCTGCCGACGACAGAGCAAGCTTCATTGCTGACTGACGAGCAGATACGGCAGGATAGGGAAGGGAACGAACAGCAGGAAGAGGGGCAGCAGTCTAGAGCAGATCCAGAAAAGGTAGTGGGACCAGCAACAGGGCAAACGGCAGAGCTGACTGCCGAGCAACTACGGCAGCACACGGAGCGAGTCACAGGGCCTCAACCACAGGATCTCGCTGCGCTACGCGCCAGCCCTCGCCGCCCAAGCAGTCCCGGCTTGTCGTCTAACGTGAGTGTGCGGCAGCTGAGGTCTCTCTTTGAACAGTCTAAGACCGCAGTAAGAGCAGCAGGAGCAGCAGGACCGCTTCGGAAAGGCGGTAAGACAAGCAAGAGCAGCAAGAGCGCAGGCAGCAGCAGCAACGCCGCCGGTGGCAACGCGAACGCGAAGGCTGTTAGGCGTGCCGGCAGCAGCGGCGCCACCACAGACACAGACTCCTCAGACGCGTTGGGTAGTAGTGGTAACCCTAACCGTAACCCTAACGCTGCGAACGGTAAAATGAAAAGAGATGGTTCGCTTAGAGTCGGGTCTGTTCTTGGTCCTGTAGGCAAAGCGTCCCCTAGACGGAAAGGGCACGCCGCAGGTGGAAACTTGGGTAGTGCAGGGACAAACTTGGGTAAATCGCCGCGTGCTGTGAAAGGCCAGGTGCAGAAGCGGCAGCAGGGGAAGCAGGCGCTGCAGGTACGGCCGAACACTCCCTGTGAGGTAGACAGGAGCACGAGCAGGGGAGGAGAGGATGGGTGCGGGTTGGGGGAGGCTTCGACGCGTTTGGATGAGGAGTTTTTGGGAAATGACGGTGCGAGATGCAGGGACGCTGGTGGTGAAGAGAGTGGGGAGGACAGAGGAGTGGAATGCGGTGCTTGTGGCGTTTTGGTGGGTGGTGAGCAGAGCAGGGAGGTGGCTGCACCGGGGTTTGATGGCACAGGAAATAGCAGCAGAGGGAGAGGAGCAACGGGGAAGGGAAAGCAGGCGTTTGGAGTGGCTACACTTCGTTCTGATGCGGTTGAGATGGATACAGATGGGGAGGGAGACGAAGGGGAGAGGCGACTGGGTGTGAGATTAGACAGTTTGGAAGGAGAAGAGGAGGTGAGCGCAGGGGAAACCGTTGTCCTCGTTATAGGCAGCGGAAACACGGGCCTTACAACGGGGGTTGTGATGACGCCAGGCAGAACGAGGCGGAAGCGAGAGGAAGGGAGGACGGGAGGGCGTGGGAGAGGAGGAGGAGCGGGTATGGGGCAAGGCAGGGTGAGGGGGACGGTGGGAGAGAGAATACGACAGCTGGAGATAGCAGCTGCAAGTGCGGCTGCTGCTGCAGGTGTGGGGAGGGGGGCGGTTGCAGGGAGGAAAGGGAGAGGAGGAGCGGCTGGAGCCTCTGCTACTGTTGCTGCTGCTACTGGTGGTGCTGCTGGTGGTGGCAGGGTGAATGCTCGTAAAGAGTGGGTCCCCAAGGGGAGGAAAGCTGCGGGGCTTGCAGGGGAGTCGGGAGGAGCAGGGACTGGCAGTGGGAAAGGGAGGGATCAGGGGATTGAAGGTTGTAGCGAGACTGTGAATGGGGATGGGGACGGGGACAGGGGCGGGGGATGCATTGGGGAGGATGCATTGGGAAAGGGCTTGGGTGCGGGAGTGGGGGGCTTACCTGTGCTGACTGTTGGAGGAGCAGACAGCCAGGCGGTTTTCGAGGGTGCTGTTGTGAGTGTTGCTGCCACCCGCAGTGCTGGTACTCGCGGGACGGCAAGGGGGAAAAAGGGAGGGAAGAAGGGGAGTGGTATGAGGGAAAGGAGGTTGTCTGGAGCAGGATGGTCGTCGGGAGGAGAAGGACATGCAAGCAGGGGGGGTGCGTATGAGAGTGAGAAAGAAGGGGAGAGTGAGGGGTTAGGGACAGGGAAAGGACAACGCAAAATGGAAGGTGGGGCCTTGGGGCTGCAATTGCAAGAGGGAGAAGGGGATGGTGACAGGAACAGGGTGGCGTGTGCTGTGGAAGAATCAGTGGTGGTAAAATGCTGGAGAGAGGATGAAGCTGTGAATGCATGTGAGGGAGATGTGGTTGCCGGGTTACCAGGATACGAGGAAATGGAGAGAATGGCTGATCAGGGAGGTATGACATCCCACGACGAACATGCTTCAGTGTATGCCGAGATGAGAGGTGAAAGAGGATTCTTTTTTCAAGAAGGAGAAGGTCTGGGTGTAGAGTTGGGGAAGGAGCGGGGGAGGGTGGTGAGGGGGAGGGGGAGGGCGAGGGGGAGGGGGAGGGGGAGGGACAGGGGGAAGAAGAGGAGGAGGAGGAGGAGGAGGAGGAGGAGGAAGGGGAAGGGGAGGTTGTGTGTCATCAGCTGCGGCTGAGTGTGGAAATGGAGGAGCAAGCGAGAGAGGCGTTGGAGGGGGGAGAGAGCGTGCTGCTGGTTGATGACGTGTCGGGACAGGCCTATCAGCTGTTGCCAGCTGTCGTCGTGAAGGGGGTGGGCGTGGATGGAGGGAGGGAGGTGGGAGAAGGTAGTGATGATGAGGAAGAGGAGGAGGATGGGAATGAGGGTGAGTGTGTGTGTGAGTGTGAGGAGGTGGAGGAGGAAGCAGGGAAGGAGGGTTTGAATGAAAGGGGGGAGGCAAGGGTGGTGAAGCATATGGAATGGGAGGAGGATGGAGGGGACAATGATAAAGAAAAGGAGGAAGTGAGGGAAGAGGAACAAGAGGGTGCGCAGGTGGAGGAGGAGGAGAGGAGGATGGAGGAGGAGGAGAGAGGGGGGATGGAGGAAGGAGAATGGGAAAGGAGTGGGGTGAAGGAAGGAGCTGGTGAAGTAGAGGCGTGGGCAGCAGAATCTGGCGTTGCAGGTGTGAGTGATAGAGGAGACGATGGGGCAGGTGGGGCAGCTGAGGCAGGTAGTCCCTATGTCGGGCGGTCTCTCTCGTCCCTCTCTGGAGACTTGTCTTTTTGTGGGAGCTTGGAGGACGCAGGGACTATCGGCGACACCAGCGTTGGCACCGAGAGGGGCAGCTGTAGCGTGTATAGCCGTGGAGGTGGGGAGGGGTATGGGTTTCCAGAGAGGACGCGAGGGTATCTGGCAGCAGCAGAGGCAGCGGCAGCAGGGGCAGTGTCTTTTGAGGCGCCTCAAGAGGGGTATGTGTTTCCGGAGAGGTCAAGAGGGTGCGTGTCAGAAGCAGCGGCAGCAACGGCAGCTGCAGCAGCAGCGGCGGCCGCAGCAGTGGCAGCAGCAGCAGAACGAGCAGCGGCAGCAAGAGCAGCAGCGGAAAGAGCAGACGAGGCGTTGGCAGAAGAACCACTGCGGCAGGTTGTATCTGGGGCAGGTAGGAGATCTGGCAACAGCAACAGTAACAGTCACGGTAACGCCAATGGGAGTGGCAGCGGCAGCGGCAGGAGCAGCAGCAACCAGCCTGGCCGTCATGGTATCAGAGCGGGTGCAGCTTCAAGCCTAGACTCCTCGACTCACAACCTCGCACAGAAACACCTCTCACACCCCTCCTCCTCCTCTGTCTCCTCCTCCTCCGCCTCCCCGCCTCAGTCTATCTTCTCGACTTCCTCTGCTGTCCGGCGCACTGTAGCGGTGAAACAGTGGATTGACTCCCAGCCAATGGCATCGCAGCTCGACCCTGTTGCAGAATCAAATCTGGAATCGAATCCGGAACAGAATCTTGAAGCCAGATTTGAGCCGCCGCCCGAGATGGTGCCAGTAGAACCAGAAGAAAACGAAATACTAATCCTACCGTCAGCAGCAGCAGCAGCAGCAGCAGCCGCCGCCGCAGCAGCAGCAGCTGCTTCTGCTCCCGCTCCCATTACTGCCCTGGGTAACCCTTCTAATGCTCGCACAGACCACCCCTCGCTATTGTCACACAGCTCAACCCGTCAAGCCACTCGTTACAGTCACACTCACCAGTCACACTCATCCATGCCACCCAATCAGTGCTTCCTCACGCCTGTACGCGTTGCTGCTCGGCGCGGGCTGTTCCGGAACGAGTGTGTGGCTCCTGCGGTGATGGGAGTGGGAAACCACTCCCGCGGTGCTCCTGGGGCGTTGGAAAGAGGGAGTCAAAACAACCCCCGTGGAGGAAGTCAATTCTCCCAGTCGCGGGGTGAGAATCGAACGAGGGGTGGTGGAAATGAGAGTGGGAGTCAGACGACGGATGGGGGGCGAGGAGTGAGGAGGGGTGGTGAGCGGTTGAGGGGGAGGAATGAAGGTGGTAGAGGGGGTGGTGGGGAGGTGGAGATGGGGAGTCAGCGAGCGAGATTGAGACCTGTTGGGGGGGTGAGGTCTGGGGAGGTGAGGGAAGTGGGAGGGGCAGAGGGGGGTGTACGGGTGGGAGAAGGAGCAGGAGCAGGAACAGGGGGGGATATGTCTGTACTAGGGGAGGAAAGGGAGTGGGGAGGTAGTGCTGGTGTTTACACAGGGTGTGGGAGAGGAGGGAGGGGGGTGAGAGGGGGAGGAGGAGCCAGAAGAGGCAGAGGGAGAGGAGGAGGAAGAGGAGGAGGAAGAGGAGGAGTTGGGAACGAGGGCAGAGAACTCTTTACATGAGATACAGGAGGAGGAGAGGCAGGACGAAGTGCCGGAGCAGGGAGAAGTGGAGGGCAGAGAGGGCGAAGGAGAAAGAGAAGGAGAGGGAGAGGGAGAAGGAGAAGGGCAAGGGGACCATGTGAGTGACCCAACCACTCGTGTGTCCTCGGTACAGTCCGAGACTCGTTTCTCTAGACTTCCTTCCGTGCAGCATGTGGACGAGAGAAGCAGGGCGAGCAGCGTGCGGGCGCGGGCGCCGCGGCGCTGGTGGCTGCTGACTGGGTCCTCGGCTTATCTCTGCGTGGCCTGCCCTGTGGTGCTGCACCCTCTGCGCCCTGTGCACAGAAGCACTGGCGCTGGTAGATCGCTCTGTTTTAGACAGCATGATACTGATGGTGGGGATGCAGCAGAGGATACGGGAGGTGCAGTGGGAGGTACTGTAAGAGTTGGTGTGGGAAGTGGTGTGGCTGGGAGATTGCCTGCTGCTCCTCGCTCGTCGCCTCGTGATTGGCTGAGGGAAGGTGCTGACGTGGCTGATTGGCGTGTGGATGGGGGAGGAGAAGCAGGAGAAGGCGGGATGGAAGAAGCAGCAGGAGAAACAGGAGGAAGAGGAGGAGAAAGGAGAGAAATGCAAGAAGCAACGACAGAACAGGCAAGAGGAGAGGAAGAGGAGGAGGAGCAAGAGGAAGAGGAAGAGGTTGAAGGCGAGTCGTGGCGTATGTGCATGGGAAGGCGAGTGCGCGCAAGGGAGAGGCGGGGAGTGGGTACAAGGAGGGTGGTGAGACACGGGGAAGATGATGACAGTGGAGGCGAACGCGAATGGCCAGTTACCACAGATGGAGCAGACAGAGTTGATACCGAGACTTCTTCTGATGGGGATATTCCTGCTGCCAGTGCTGGGGCCGTTGCTGCTGCTGCTACAGGGGTGCATGGAGCAGAAACGGCAAGTGTAACTGCAAATGACTTGAGTGCGAGAAGCGGGGAGGGCATGAGAAGCCGAGCCCTGTGGCGCTGGCAGCAGCAGCAGCAGCGCCTGAGAAACCAGTTCTCGCCCCTCCCCTCCCTCCTCTCCTCCCCCTCCCGTGCCCCTCGCACCGGCCAATCCCGTCGCGACACGCAGCCCCATGCGCTGAGTCAGAACAGCCAGCAGCACCCACGTCAGCAGATGCCAGAGCAGCAGGAGGTGGGTCCAGGGCAGCAGCATCTCGTGCCAGGTCAGCTTCTGCTGAGTCAGCAGCAGTCGGCGTCGAGTCAGCGCAGGTTGGGTCGGCGTCGCGTGTCTGTACATGGGCTAGCGGGCAGGCAAGGCAGGCAGAGAGGAAGCGGAGGAGATAGAAGAGGAGGGGTGGCTGCGCCAGGGGCGCGGTCGGAGGGGGTGCTGAGCGGTGACAGTGATTTGGAGGCGAATGAGGGAGAGGGGGTGGGTGGAGGGATGGAGGGGGAAGAGGAAGATAATATTGCAGGACCTGCGAGCAGAGTCAGTGATAGTGTCGAAGGGGCTGTTTTGGGGTCGACTCAAAACGAGGAGAATCTTCCTGCAGGACCTGCGAGCAGAGTCAGTGATAGTGTTGAAGGTTCTGCTGCAGACGAGAGGAGGGGCGCTCTGGGAGCAGTGGAAGAGAGTGTTGCAAAAGGTGGTTTGGAGCCATTGGTGTGGCAACCAGCGAGTGGTGGTTCGGAGCCGTTGGTTCGGCAACCAACGAGTGGTGGCTTGGGAGGAACTGAAATCACCACAGAGGTGGTTGTAGAGAGGGAGAGGGAGAGGGAGAGGTTAGGAGGTGGTGGGGAGGGGTTGAGGCCAGCTGGGGACGCAGCAGGAGCCTCAGAGGTAGAGGCATCAGGAGGTGTAGAAGTGGCAGGGGCAGGGGAGGAATCCGTGAGCTGTGGTCCTGTGAACAGTGTTGTGAATGGAGTCTGCTCACCTGCCGAGCCTGGAGCTTCGGGTGAAGGTTCGGCAGAAGGTGAGGAGGTTGGGAACCTGATTGGATCGGAGAATGTGTTGGAGGAGGCTGCCTGTTTGCCACAGGGCGTCTCTTTGACCGAGCAAGGCACTAGGGAGGAGGATGATGTTAGGAACGGGGGAAACTCTGGGGAAGAGGAAGACTGTGGACATAGCAACAGGCAAGCAGTTAGCCCAGTGGTTGAAGGGGGAGCAGCAGCGGGCAGCAGCAACCATGCAACTCGTGAGGTGCATCAACAGGCGGTGGCAAGGGCAACGCAGGCGTCACAGCATATGTGTCCAGCAGTGGTTTTGCCATCAGGTTGTGCTGCTGTCGAGGGGGACGCGCTTGCTCCTGTGGGTGGTGCTGCTGTTGCTGTTGTTGCAGGGGGGGACTCAGCTGAGGACTTCAGGGCCCCATCTTCTTCTTTACCTGCAGCCATTGTTTTCTCGGCGGCCAATATGGGTGGGACTCAACCATCTTGTGCTGCTGAATCACCTCATTCAACGCCCGATGCAGCACCAGACTCAGCACCTGATGCTGGAAGCAGCCAGTCAGCAGCTACAGCAGCCGCACACCCTAATGCCAACCCACCAGCTGATGCCACTCTGCCTTCACAGCAACCGCTCTCCACCCCTCTCTTTGCAGCAGGGAACAATGCCGCAGCAACCATGCACTCTGGTTTCCTTGCACATCCCCCCATCACAACTCACTCCATCGCACCTCCCTCTACCATGCCTCACTCCATCGCACCTCCCTCTACCGTGCCTCACTCCATCGCACCTCCCTCTACTGTGCCTCACACCATCGCATCTCCCTCTATTGCACCTCACACCATTGTACCTCTCTCCATCGCACCTCACATCGTCACATCTTCCCCCGTCGCACGTCCCCCTGTCGCACCTTCCCCTGTCGCACCTCCCCCTGTCGCACCTCCCCCTGTCGCACCTCCCCCTATCGCACATCCTTTACTCCCGTCAACACTCTCCATGCCCAGTCCCTCTTCCATTGGCGAAGCAGCAGCAGCAGGCACAACAGCAGAAACATCAGCAGGAGCTTTCCACCCATTCGTACTTTCCAACGCAGATGTGCCACAGCCACAGCCACAGGGTTATCAGGTTACCGTGTTACCACAAGCACCATTCATTGGCATGCCACTAGTGCTGCCTTACACTAATGACACACAGCCAACCTCACAACCGTATTTACAGCCTGCCTTACAGCCGGCTTTACAAACGACAGCACAGCAGCAATCCGTAAGCATACAGCTCCTCCCCCCTTTGGGCCAGGAGCATTTGCATTCCACACCCTCCAATCCATTTGAGCCCAGCCTTGCTCCTGCCAATTATGCTCCCACTAATCCGTTTCATCCATCCCATCCGTCCAATCTGCCGCCTGTGTCTGATCCAACGGCAGCCATGCCGCATGCCAGCTATGCCCCTTCTGCTGGCTTTGCACTTTCTGCTTTTGCCGGACTTGCCCCTTCTCCCCCTGTGCACTGGCACCAGCCATCCCAGCAGCATGATTATGGGCCGTTGGCAGCAGCAGCAACAGTAGGATCCGCAGCAGCAGCGGCAGCAGCATCAGGGGCAGCACTAGTAGAGGCAACACCTGAAGTAGGGTCAGCAGGCGCAGGGGCAATGACTGCAGCAGCAGCATCGTTGCCCATGAGTGAGTGGGCTCTGTTTTCCCCTGCACGAGGTGAAGAGGCGGGCACTGCAGCAAGCACTGTGCCCTCAACAGCTGTAGCAGCGGCAGCGCCACCAGCAGCAGCTGTAGCAAGTCGGTGGACAACAGTTGGGGCATCAGATGGTACTAGTGGTTTTCGTGGGAACAGAATAGTGGCAGAGGAAGGGAGAGAGGGGGTCGAAGAGAGAGTGGGAACAGTGGTGGGGAGTGTGGGAGCAGAGGCGACGAGAGTGGTAAATTCAGTTGCACCGGGAAGGCTAAGTCCTGCTCGTTTCCGCAGGGTGGTGAGTTCAGGTGCTGCCCAGATGACCATTGTCAATACTGCTTTGTCTGTGCCCACAGGAGCTCGCATGGGCTCCCCGTTGACAGGAAGGGGGAGAGATGGCCACACGGGGGCTGGGGTGTTGCTTTCGAGCAACAGCTTCAGTGGTGCTGGTGCTGGGGGGAGTAGTGGTGCTGCTGCTGGTGATGGTGTGAGTGGTGGGAGTGGTGTGGCTGGCGGCAGCAGCCGAGGGGAGGTAGTGTTGAGGATGCATGAGCAGAGGCAGCAGCAGCGGCAGCGGCTCCTGCTGCTTCGGCTGCAGCGCATGCTCTTGACCCGTGGCGAATCACCTACTAACGAGGATGGAGAAGCAGGAGAAGGGGAGGAGAGCCAGCAACAGAGTCTGACCCAGCAGCAGCAGCACCAGCTGTACGAGCAGTTGCAGCAGAGTCGTGGGGGGAGCAGGGACGAACAGGCATTGATTGATGCTGCGATTGAACAAGCTCTCTTTGGCTCCTCCAGCTCATCCACTCTGCTTACCAGCAGTGCTGCTGCTGCTGCTTCTGCTGCCGCTGGTTCTAGTGGCATCGAGTCTTCTCGCCCTGCTGTCCCAATGAGGCTTCCAGCATCAGCGCGAGTGGTGGCAGCAATGGCAGCAGCAGGCACAAATGCTGGGGCAGGAAGTGGCATCGGCATTGGAACAGCAGGCAGCGTAGCAGGTGCTGTAGGGGCTAGTGTAGCACGCACCACATCAGGTACTGTAGCAGGCAGTGTAGCAGGAGCAGGAGTGCCACTGGTAGCAGTGCTAGGAGGCCCGCCAATCCAGGTTTCATCCAGACGAACACAGAGCCCTGCTCTCACCCATACCCATGCATGGGGTGGTGGGGTAACTGGCAGCAGAAGGCACGTCGCAGTCGAGAGACCGAGGGGAGGCGCAGAGGAGGAAGAGGAGGGGCGCAGGGGTAGGCGTGGGGGAGGCGCGGTACGAGGGAGAAGAGGGGGAGAGAGTATAGGAGGAGGAACAGTAGCTGGGGAGGAGGTTGAGGAGAGTGGAGAAGAGGAGGGGGAGCCTGGGGAGGCGGTGTGCTGTGTGTGCATGGAGAGGCCGAGGAAGGCAGCGTTTGTGCCATGTGGTCACATGCTGTGCCGCACGTGTGCTCAAGAGGTCAGGGACCAGCGTGGCAAGTGCCCCTTGTGCAATAGAAAGATTAAGGATGTGCTTAAATTGTACTGATAATACTAATGATTTGACATGTGGTCCGTGGTACATAGCCAACCTTATAGACCGTCATTACCATGGTCTGCAGAAAGAAAGCAAAACAGTTTAAGTTTAATGTACACTACAATACCCATTAAATTGCAAATGAGCAGTTAGAAGCAGCACGAATTCGCCTGAAACACACAGGACAAACCCAGATAGCTTATTTCTTGAAGTAGAAAACATCCACACCAGGAAGAGCTGGCTTCACTCTGTCTACCATCCAATAATCTGCGAGCCCAACATCTTCTAGGCTGGGAAGAGCTCGCAAGCACGCGATGCCATAGTCACCAAATGGAGATTTCAGATAAATAGTCTTGAGAAACCTGAAACATGTCAGATGCTGGAGTCCCTGTTCAGTGATGTACTCTGGGAGGCAGAGCCAAGAGAGTTTCGTCAAAGGTCGAAGATATGGCAGCGCTCCATCTGACACCAACGAATTCCCAAGATCCAATGTTTGAAGCCTTGTCAGCTTCCCCAGATTTGCAAGTCCTGTAAAGGAGAAAGTAAGATTGTCATAGGAACACGAGCAGTTATAGCTGCGAGAGAAGAAGAGGTCTTCAAGGGACCTCAGAGACGTTAAATGGCCGAGCCCGACATCTGTAACTGCAGTCTCGATCAAATTGAGACGTCGGAGATTCGGCAAATTGCTGATTCCCAAAATCACGGAATCGTCGACTTTGGGTGATTGTAACTTCAGCTCCTCCAACCATGGCATTGATGGAAGGTATTTCAAGGCGGCTTCATTGACAGATCCGCAAATGCTGAGGCTCTTCAGGGATGTCATGCAGGCGAGGCGATAACTGCCAATGGCAGATAAGGGCTCAAGGTTACTGAGTTCCACTTTGGTAGTATCCGCGGCACGTATGATCTTAATATCCGCATCGGTCGTTTGCTGACAAGCCAATGTAATAGCCTGAAATGAAACTCAAAAGGGAGTAATATTAGGTACTGCGATTGAGCAAATAAACTCGTATACAAAACCAGCATTTCTCACCTCCCAAATCTGAATCACTTCTCGCTTCTGATGTACCAGCGCTGTCTCTGCCTCCGATAACCGTGCTCTCAATGCCGTGACCTCCTTTTCCTTCTCTGTTTCTACCTGCGAAATCCGTGCTGCCAGTGCAGCCATCTCTTTCCTCTGAACTGTCTCTGCCTGCGATACTCGTGCTGTCAAAGCAGCTAACTCTTTTTTCTTCTTCGCTTCTGCCTCCAAATATCGTGCCTTCAGATCAGCTATTTCCTTATCCTTCTCCTGCTTACCCGTATCACAAGCTAACTTAAGCATTCGCTCATTAATGCTACTTCTACTGGCCCTATTTATTGCTTCCAAAGCGACCACCCTCTCTCTCAAACCTTCCATCACTGCCTCCATGCTTTCCATTCTCGCATTGATCCTTTCCCTCTGCTCGTTTTCTTCGTCCTCTAAATCCAACCTAATCTCGTCAAACCGAACCGCTAGTCGCATCGCTCCCCTTGTAACCTCTTCCAGAAGAACTTCGGTTGCCGTCTCCATTGAGAGCTCAATCTGACGTGACGAGGAAGGAACTCCTAAAGCGGCTGAATTGAAGCAGCGTCAGAATCTAGGTAGCTCGGTAGGCTCTTTTCCAAGGGGAACGATTGGAAAATGCTTGGGAAGAGCACTGGATCAAGATGTGTATTGGAATCTGCTTTTGCGTGGCATCTCTGGTATAAGCTTGATTGGCTACATGTCACAAGCTGAAATAGTGTGCGTTTGATTGTATTCATATCTAGACATTTCTGAAATCAGTTGCGTCACTTCTGGAATGTGTCAAGCCCTGCTTGCCAGGATCGACCTCACCGTACTGAATCCTACTAAAACTCTTTAACCACATCAGGGAAGTAGCGAAAGACGTTTGGCGATGCTGTGACGAAGTAAAAGCTCCCCAGTTACTCACAGTCTCGGACTTTGGTGCTGTTTCGCCTCACGGGGACCCCTTCGATTGCCGTCCATCACACCTGAGGCGAAACTTCGCATCGACGAAGCGTTCGCACAACCCTACCGCCAGCCACCGAAAACGGTGGGTGGGACAGACAAGCCCAAGGCGGGTCTTCCTATTTCTCCATTATCCCTCCCTTTATGAACCACGCGGACGACAAGACGGCTGCCTCCACTCAACCCCCCCATCTGTCCCTCACCCTTTTCACACACCCCCTGCTGTACCCCTAGCACTGCTCACACGCCACCCCCCTAGTACCACTCCGACGGCTCCCACACATCCACCCCCCTCAGCGGCAGCTGCAGCAGTGGGAGACGGAGGAGAAGGAGGAGCAGGGGACGACTCACACACCCGCCACCCCTATACTAGCCACCCCACGGCTGCACACGCAGCAGGGAGGCGAAGAAGAAGGGGGGGGGGGGGGGGGGGGGGGGGGCTTGGAGGAGGCTGCACGCGGGTGCAAGGGGCGGCGCGCGGGTCGACGGGGGCGGGCGCGGAGGTCCCCGTGGGCGGCGCGCGGGTCCACGGGAGGGGCGCGCGGTTCGACGGGGACAGGCGTGCGGGTCCCCGGGGGCGGCGCGCGGGTCAACGGGGCGCCACGACGGGCGACCGGGGGGCTGCGCTGCGGAGATTCACCCTACAATGGTAGTGACCTAGACTATGGGGTTGGCACGAACTACTAGGAGTGATCGTAGCTTTGCCTAGTTCCTTAGTGCTTGCACATTCACGGGAGAAATCGGCAAGAGTTTCCACTAGCAAAGTTGAGAATACAGAATCAATGATCAAGAAATGACAGAATGACTACATCAGGCACCTAGCAACCCTGCAGCTAGCCTGGTCGACCGCCAGCACTGCATGGTCGACCGCGTGCCAGCGTTGCGTAGAGGAGCCGCGCCAGCACTGCCGAAAGGTGACCTGCCAACGCAGCAGGTCGACGGCGTGCCAACGCTGCAGCAAAGCGGCTGTCCAGCGTTGCCCGGTAGAACGCAGCAGTGCGCATGCTCGCAGGTGCGCGCAGACGATTGGCCCGACTTGCCTCGTTGGGCATCCGTCGGCTGTTGTCTGCGCCTGACGAGCCACATCGACTTCGGGATACCAACCCGAAGTCGCCTTCGCCATCGTGACCTCGACGACGTTCGTGTGCCTCCGCAGAACTCGTCCTACATGTTACCCGGTCGACCTGGACACCACCAGGTGCTTCCGGTCGACCACCAGGTCCCTCTGGTCGACCACCACGTGCCCCTAGTCGACCACAGCTACCCCCTGGTCGACGGACCCCTTCCGTCGACCGCTGCACCGTTGTCAGGTCGACGGCTGCTCCGTCGACCTCCCCGGCCGAATTGTAGGTCGACGGGATGCTCTGTAGACCTCCCGGTCGAGATGCAGGTCGACGGGATGCTCTGTGGACCTCCCGGTCGAGCTGCAGGTCGACGGGATGCTCCACAGGCCTTCCGGTCGAACTGCCCCTCCTGATCGACGGCCCACCCGTCGCCCAGACCAGTCAGTTGAAGCTGTTGAGCTTCCTGGTCGACAGCAACACCACAGCGGTCCCCTGCAGCTCGACGAAGCCTGTCGAGCAGCTCTCCCACTGTGAACGGTCGGCTGCTACTCCTCGTGCGCCCTACCTTACGTGCGCCCTCGTGCGCTCTACCTTACGTGCGCCCTCGTGCGCCCTCGTGCGCCCTCGTGCGCCTTTCTCTGCTAGTGCGCCTTCGTGCGCCCTCGTGCGCCCTCGTGCGCCCTCGTGCGCCCTCGTGCGCCCTCGTACGCCCTCGTGCGCCCTCGTGCGCTCTCGAGCCGCCCCTGCAGGTCCGTCAGGCCCCCGAGCCGCCGCTGCAGGCCCGTCAGGCCCGAGAGCCGCCCCTGCACACCCGTCAGGCCCGCGCGCAGCCTCTGCACGACCGCGCGCCGCCCCTGCAGGCTCTCGCCGCCCGCCGCGTCGCCCTGCCCGTGGCGTCGCCGCCTCCCCGCGGCGTCGTTGCCTGCCCGCGGCATCGTCACCTGCCCGCGGCGTCGTCGCCCTGCTCGCGGCGTCGTCGCCTGCCCGCGGCGTCGTCGCCTGCCCGCGGCGTCGTCGCGTGCCCGCGGCGTCGTCCCCTGCCCGCGGCGTCGGCGCCTGCCCGCGGCGTCGTCGCCTGCCCGCGGCGTCGTCGCCTACCCGCGGCGTCGCCACCTGCTAGCGGCGTCGCCCTACTCGCGGCGTCGCCACCTGCCCGCCGCGTCGCCCTGCCCGCGGCGTCGCCACCTGCCCGCCGCGTCGCCCTGCCCGCGGCGTCGCCACCTGCCCGCCGCGTTGCCCTTTTCGCCGCGTCGCCCTGACCTAATCCGCCTCTCGCCCCTGGAGCAGCCGCCACTGCAGTAGCAGCCCCTGGAGCCGCCCGCCACTGCAGCAGCAGCCCCTGGAGCCGCTCGCCACTGCAGCAGCCGCCCCTGGAGCCGCCCGCCACTGCAGCAGCCCCCTCTGGAGCAGCACGCACCTGCAGCAGCCGCCCCTGGAGCAGCCGCCACTGCAGCAGCCGCCCCTGGCACCTGGAGCAGCTGCCGTCGCGGCCCGGCCTCGCCCTGCAGCAGCTGCCGCGGAGCTCCCTGCTGCGGCCCGGCCCAGCCCTGCAGTTGTAGCGGCCCCGCTGTCGCCACCGTCTTGCGCCTGCCGCGCCGACCACTGGTGAGCATTGCCCAGCACTGCTACCGCTGCTACTGCTGCTACTGCCTTTTCTACTCCCACTGCCACTGCTCCTGCTGTTACTGCTGTTACTGCCGCTACTGCTACTGCTTCTGCTCCTGGCGTGGCCAGATGCAGCTCCAGGGCCGTGCGCGTGAGTCCCTCACGCCCCAGCAGCTTCGTGCGCGTGAGTGGTACGCTAGTTGGGGCTGTCGGGGTGGCCGTAGTGGTAGTCGCTCTGGAGTGGGTCGGTCGGGAGCTTCTGGTAGTGGACAGGTGCAGCTGCCGTGTCCTCTTTCGCCCCAGCAGCTTCGTGCGCGTGAGTGGTACGCTAGTTGGGGCTGTCGGGGTGGCCGTAGTGGTAGTCGCTCTGGAGTGCATCGTTCGGGAGCTTCTGGTAGTGGACAGGTGCAGCTGCCGTGTCCTGTAAGTGAGGCTGCCGCTCTAGGTGCTAGTACGTCTGTTGCCCTAGGTGCTGGTGAGGCTACCACTCCCGGTACTCACGTGTCTGCTACCCCAGGTGCTGGTGAGGCTGCTACTCTAGGTGCTAGTGAGTCTGCGCCCCCTGGTACTGAGTCGACTGAGGCACTGCACACCTTCACCCTGGACTCAGGTGCTTCTCGCTGTTTCTTTCGTGACCGCACTGCCCTTGAGCCACTTGCTCGGCCAGTTGCTGTCTCCCTTGCTGACCCCTCTGGGGGTCCGGTCATTGCCACCTCCTCCACTGTTCTTCCCTGTCCTGCGGTCCCGTCGGGCACACTGTCAGGTCTCCACCTCCCCTCGTTCTCTACGAACTTGGTGGCGGGTTGTGCGCTCCAGGACGCGGGTGTTCACCAGTTCACCCCTGCCTACGAGCGCGTGACACACTGCACGTGTGCGCGGACGGGCCGTCACCTGGCTACCTTCACTCGGCAGCCGGGGTCGGACCTGTACACACTGACCACTGAGTCCCCTCAGGTTGCTGCGTCGGCGTCTGCGTCAGGTCAGCTGTCGGCCCCCTGCTCGTGTCGCTCTCTGGCGCACGAGACCGTCCTTTGGCACCACCGACTTGGTCACCCGTCTGTGCAGCGCCTTCGTGCCATGCACAAACGGTACCTTGTTTCTGGTCTTCCCAGGGTTCTCCCTCCCCTCCCACCCTCGCCTGCTCCTCCCTGTCTTCCCTGTGTCGAGGGGCCGCTCCTCACTCCTCCTCCTTTCCCCCCACGACTGCTCCCTTGCAGACGCTCCACCTGGACGTGTGGGGCCCAGCCTGCGTCCGTGGACAGGGTCAGGAGAGGTACTTCCTGATTGTTGTTGACGACTACTCGCGCTACACCACGGTCTTCCCCTTGCGCACCAAGGGTGAGGTCCCTGATGTCTTGATCCCTTGGATCCGCAGAGCTCGTCTCCAGCTCAGCGAGCGTTTCCGCTCGGACTTTCCTGTCCTGCGCTTGCACTCTGACAGAGGTGGTGAGTTCTCCTCCGACCTCCTGGCAGCCTACTGTGCCGAGCACGGCATTGAGCAGTCGTTCACGCTTCCGGCCTCTCCACAGCAGAATGGGGTTGCTGAGCGCCGCATTGGCTTGGTCATGGAGGTCGCTCGTACCTCCCTGATCCATGCGGCTGCTCCCCACTTTCTGTGGCCGTTTGCAGTCCGATACGCTGCGCATCAGCTCAACCTTTGGC